GAATTGAGAAGTGAAATCTCATGTTTATATGATAAGAGTTGTAGCTTTCGTCTTAGGCTTTCTCTGCAAGCACAGTGTTGGGCTACAAACTTCCACAGGGCAATATTTTCCTAGTGGCAAAAGTTATATCAGTCAATAAGCTTACACCAGTGCTGTAGTTTCTTCCTTTCCTAAGAAATTATATCCAGTATATCTCATAACTGAAAAAAAAAATAGCAGTTTTTCTATGCACTGATTAATTTTGAGCACAGTAGAAAAGCAGTACTAGAAACACGGAGATCAGCAGCTAGAATAGATAACTTTAAGATCATTTGGATGTGTTAACAGCACAGGAGTTAACATAAAAGATATTTTGTGATGTGATATTCAGCACCAGTATCATATAAAGGAAGTAGTCATAGCATGACTCTCAGAACCTTTCCAACATTCAAATATGTCTTTTAAAATAACTTGGCAAATTCCCTCTAGATATATTTTAATGCAATTAAATATATTACAATAGTACACCTTTTTCTCAGTTTTTCAGTTTAAAATAGTTTCCCAGAGCAGTTCATAAAGTTCAGAAATAAGAAGGCTTTGCCTATGAGGGAGAAGAAGGGATCCGTTTTGTATAATAATTTACACTTAACAGATTTCCATAAAAGTAGGAATGTGCAAAAATTATTAAGAACTAATTCTTCTTTTCCCTTGCATGTCTTCTTCAATAGCAGATAGTGAGTGAAGAGTGGAGAGAGAGGCTTGACTTTTCAAGTACTTGTTAATACTTGAGGGATTTTAGCAGGGATTAGCAAGATTTCCAAACAGGTGCCTTTCATAATTTTGAATAGGAGAAATAGCCCAAAATACTTTGTCTAAAATACTGTTTTTTAAAAAAATATTATTTTAGACAAAGAACTAATTTGGCTGAAATCTTACAAGAATTCACACAACAGAAATATTGCAAAAATTTGGTACTTAAAAATCTGTTTTCAAAAACTAGGTAAATGAGTATGTTGAAGGAAAAATCTTCATCAGGGTCCAGTCCAAGCCGGGAATAAACAACATGGTGACTGCTTTAGAAAGAAGGTTGTAGTTTATTGAAGAGGAGAGCCAGACAGAAAGATGGCTCTTGAAGAAAAGAGAGTGTACATGTAGTAGGGAGTGGGTTTTTATCCTCTTGGGCTTTTGTTTGGAGTTGTTTCCTGTTCCTGTTTGAGGCTTTGTATTTCCTGTGTCATGTACTTTGACCTGAGTCTGACTGTGCCCCTTTGGCATCTGTGGGTTAATCCTATTATGTCCTGTCCTAGAGTTTGGGTGGGGTATGTAGATTTTAGGTGTCTTTGTCTTTCTAAGCTTCTAGCTGGAGGGCTCCAACCTTCCTGAATAGATTATTACATCTGCATTTCTACAGAGCTGGTTTCTGCTTGGGGGAGGGAGACTTGGGGCTATTAGGAAAAAATGGGCACGCTTTTCTGCCTCTTTAAGATCCTATGAGGAAATATATTCTGCCCTTTTAATATTTCCTTCTGGGGGGGGGGGCTGACTTCCCACAAGTACTAGTGCCATCTAGTGGTATTTCTGATGAATGTCTATGGCTGTAGAAATAGAGTTACAAAATTTGCTCATAGAATTTGTAAATTCTAGCTAGTATTGGTTTGTTGATAAACTTGAAGCAATTGAAATATAATTGCTGTTAGGGATGCCCAACTCAAAAGAGAACATTTGGACTTTTTCCATTGACAGGAGAATTTTGGAAAGAAAGTTGGGAGAAAAGATACAATTAAATTATTATTCAAAGTGGCATCTTCCGTTGTATAGGAGAAATATTTTTTTCCTATTCCCCTGTTTATCTTCATTTAACAAGAAATTGTTTTCTCTGGATATTTGCAGCACAATGCTATTGCAGTGCTGGGATCTTAATTATCAAGAAAAAAAATGCATTCTGTCAGAGATGCATTCCGAAAAGTAGAATCTCAGCTTCCAGCTTGGCCCAAAGAGTTTAGACCTGTGATATAAGTTATTGAAGAGAATTGCCCCACAATTTATCTTGGCATATTCACAATGAAAAAAAGCTGATTTGTATGAAAGATTCCATTGGTGAAAACAACAAGCTTAACTAGGTTTCCACCATTACTATAATCAGGGATCTACAAGTTATAATTCAATCTGATAGCAAAGTGATTATTTTTCTAGTGATATAATTGAAACCCACCATGATTGTGCTACATTGTTATATGTATTTATCAATTTGAAAATTGTCTATTTAAATTCTTATGATAAATCAGGACTTTAGATATTTTTCTTTCATTTTCAGCCCATTTCACTATATACAGTAGGTAATCCTCAATTTATCACCACAATTGAGCCCAAAATTTATGTTGCCAAGTGAGACATTTGTTAAGTGAGTTTTGCTCCATGTTTATGACCTTTCTTGCCACAGTTGTTAGTAACCCAGTTGTTAAGTGAATCTGGCTTCCTTATTGACTTTGCTTTTCTGAAAGTCACAAAAGGGAATCACATGACCCAGTGGTGGGATTCAGCCGGTTCGCACCACTTCGGCAGAACCGGTAGCTAATGTTTTGTTGCCCAGGCCCAGAATGGACTTCCGGAAGCTGCATCCACACAGAGAACTGGTTGTTCACATATTTGAATCCCACCACTGACATGACCCCAGGACACTGCAACTGGCATAAACATGAGTCAGTTGACAAACATCTGAATTTTAATTGTGTGATCATGGGGATGCTACAATGGTCGTAAGTGTGAAAAATGGTCATAAGTCACTTTTTTCAATGCCGCTGTAACTTGAACAGTCACTAAATAAACTGCTGTAAATTGAGCACTATCTGTACCATATACAGGTTGTTCTTGACTTACCAATCACAACAGCAATTCCTAGGCAATGCAGCCATAAAGTAAAATCACCTGAGCACACCCAAGGTATTCCATCAGTTCCAGCTGCAGTCATGAAGCCAATTGCCCATGGTGTTAAGGATTAAATGATGTGACTAAAACTTCCTGTCAACTTCCCTATTGACTGTGCTTGTTGGAAGCAGGCTCTGAAGGTTACAGTAGCCAATCACTTGATATTTATAATTGTAAATGCACTCTGGTTGCAGAGTACCTAAATTGCAGGGATGTGACCACAAGGATGCTGCAATGACTGCAGATTCGAGGACTGGTTGTAATTCTCCCCTATCAGTACTGTCATAACTTCAAACAGTTGCTATCTATGTTCTAATCATAAAAGTTTCTTTTTTTACTCTTAATTATTTCTGATTTCAATTATTCTAATAGTGCAATTCTATGCATACAACACCAAGGAGGAAACTTCACTCAATTCAGTGATTAGCTTTAATCTATGAGACACATTAAATTTATTCAGCTATTTGAAATAGGTATTTTATGTTTTAAATTGAAATGTAAATACTGTTGCAGAGGAGTTTTGCTGGTATGTATCTGTGAGTGTGCACCTTCGAGTCTTTGTTGGCTCCTGGAAACTGCCTGGAGAAGTTTTTCTTGGCAAAGTTTTTGGAAGGAGTTTGCCATTGTCTCTTTCCTAGGGATGAGAGAAGAGAGAGCAACTGCGTCTGATGTCACTTTGATATGCCTAAAATGAGAGTAGAACTGATGGTCTCTGGGTTTTTAGTTTGATGCTTTAACTACAACACCAAATTGGCTCTATTTAAACTGTTATAATTCATCCTTTAGAGCAGTGGTGGCGAACCTTTTAGAGACCGAGTGCCCAAACTGCAACTCAAAACCCACTTATGCATCGCTGGGTGCCGGGTGGGCGTGGCCACTGAGTGGGCGTGGCCACCGAGCTGTCGGCTCGTGCTCACTCACTCGCTGTCCGCTCTGACTCATGCTCACTCTCAAGCTGTCTGCAGCAAATGCTGCTTCCACAGAAAGTTGCTCCTTTTATAGCCTCTCGCCTATTCCTAGACTGCGCATGTGCCACTAGATACGGCTCCGCATGTCGCCTGTGGCACACGTGCCATAGGTTCGCCACCACGGCTTTAGAGTATCCAAATAATTGAGGAAAGTAATACAAACATTGCTGAATTGTTTTCCTAATCTCTCATTTCTGATGTGTAAACCTTCTCAATAAGTTTAGAAGTTTTAAATGGTTAAAACTGAAATTGAATTTATTTATTTAGTAAATTTATAGGGCCCCCATCTCACATAACGTGATTCTGGTTTTCCTTTCAAAGTTGCCAGGATATATTCTTAAGAAAGTCAAGAGCTGCCTTTTATATAGTCTGTCTTGGGGGTATCCTTATAAAGCTATCTTACAGTATTCGTTCTTTTGTAAAGTGATCAGTTTGGTTTCCTGTAATCTCCCTTGGTTTGAACTTGAGTTATTCTGTTAGAAATGTAATTAATAGGCTCAAAGAAGGTTTAATGAGTTATCACCTCATTCATTCTTCGTATCATGAGGACATGCCTACACTGTAAACATCATGATTGGTGTTTTTTCACCCAGAAATAGCAACATTAGATGTTCCTTAATACAAGTGTTTTCTGATGAAGCATCTTGGAAAGGTGTGTTGGGTTTTGGCAATGGCTATCTTGATAAACAAATGCTTAAAAGAAGCCAATATTTACTTTAAAATATATACCTTTCCCTAAAATTAAAATTTCTTAAAATAGATGACAGAAAAAGTCCCCTTTTTAATATATTCAGTATAAAAATTTGGTGAATAGTTGGGGCTGTTGAGTTGCTTGTGATCCCTGATGATTATGTAAGAAAATTCCACTGTCAGTTTATAGCTCTTCCAAGAATATTTGTGGCCAAAAGCATATTTATTGTCTTCCCCTTCCCTTACTCCCAACAACATTGCCAATCATAGTCATTTTTTTCAATTCGTCATATTTTCTCAGCACTTTGTAAAATTATATGGGTTTCTGCTCATCGCTTCAGTGGCATAGTCAACCTTGGTCAAGGATTGATGGTTCCAGCAAGTCTATCAGTCTTCTATATCCTTTCTCTCATTTTTTTTCAATGCTACTGTTCACAGATGTTCATTAGCACAGGTAAACCATTGCATTAATTATCCTGAACTTTGTTGTTATTGAAGTATCCTTTCAATGAAAGAGAAGTATTTCTGTATTTCTATAATTCCATTTCAATCTCTTTTATATTCCTGTAGCAGCATATTACCCATTTTTATACTTGAGTCTAAGAAAACAAAACTATATTCATTTCTTCGTCTTCAACGTAATATTTAACATGTTAATTTTAACGTACCAGTGTTAATTTTAATAATGTTAAATGTTCATTTTAATTTTTAATTGAAATATTCACTTTGTTTTTTCACTTTTATTTTTATTTCCATAATGAACTCTTCTAAGACTTTTCTATTTTAGCTAACAAAGTAGAGTTGTCTATAAAATTTTCAACCTCCAGTTTTGTTTATTTTTCAGTCCTGCAATTTTTATATTTGCTACATAATTTATTCATTTGCTACATAATATCAGGACAATATTCATTTTTGCCTCGTTCTCAATCTCTAGATCTCATAGTTTTGTTCCATATTTGTTCACCCAGAACTGATAATATCTGTAGTCCCTTCTGCAGATTTAAGTTGATGAAAGGACATTTTATCTGCACCTGGTGCTTTGGTATTTGTTAAATGGTCTGTTATTTACATTATAAGGTGTTACAGTATAACTACATTCTTTATTGAGATAGTTTTCCCTATTTCTTACATAATTTTGAAAATTATGTTCCATCATCGTACATCCATTTTGCTGCTGAAAGCATTTATCCTCCATCTTTCCTGTGCTGTTATAATAACTTGGTATAAAAACCACATTAACCTTTTTTTGATTTTGGGATTTATTTTTTTTGTCTCCAGCCTTCATAGTGTTTCTTGTGCCTTCCCTTCTTCCTCATGTTCTCTTTCATGTAAATTAAAAGTACCAAATCTGTTCCTTGTGTTGATCTTATGGTCTGACCCTTCTAAGTCAAATCTTCCTGGCATATCTACTTTTTCAATTTTCTAAGTTATCTGACACCAATAATTTGTGGTCTGCTCTGCAATCTACACTGGACAACACCCTGGCTGACTTGATCACATTTTTCCATCTTCTACTTCCAATTACATACTTGATCCAAGCTTGTCCATATAAGTAGTGTCCAGTTCCAAAATAACTGGAGCACCATATAAACACTGTTGTGGTATTAGCAAAATCACAATCAGTTAATTGTAAAAAGTAGCTTTACTTGGAATAGCTTCCATCCTGCAATAATACCTTTAACACCATCAGGCAACAACACCAGCTATCTTGGGTCCTTGGGAAGGACTTGATATGTGGGATAAAAATGCCAAATCCACCTGACTGACTGCGTGACAAACCATAATAATAATAATAACTTGTTCATGACAGCCAGAAAATATTTTCAGATTGTACCTAACTTCAGTTGGTTTGCCAGCTAATTAACAAGCAGTTTATATGGGGATACATTAAGGAATTAATACAGTAACATTTCTTTTTATATTTTTAATTTTAAAAAGCTATGATAGGGCTGAGATGAAAATTTTCAGTCATCCCCCCCAAAATTGAAAGGACTTGGAAAACTTCTTTTGCTTATATATGCTTCATTACGATCTTTGCAGTAGTGGTTATGTTGTCTCCTGATGCTCTTTTAAAATTCGAGATATCCGAGAAGAGGAGAAGAATTACTGCCTTCATTGTGATTTAGTTTTATGATTGTGGAGTAAATCCCTTAGAACAGAAAAGATGAGTATATGGCCTTTTTCCTCTTGAATAGATTGAAGTTCCCAAAAGATGCAACTGAATGTGTGTTGTGTTGGGTAATTTATTTAGGAATAAGTTGTAGTCTGATTCTAACCAGGAAATCATACTTCTATTTGTTTCTTAACAACTAAATTTACAGTTGCAACCATAATCTAAGAGCAGGGTAATTTGTAAGAGGGATTTCAGAAAGTACAGTAGCATAACTTAAACAGTCCCGTCTTGAAATGTTAGGGTAACCGAGTTCTTTGGGAAGTTTGCAGCTTTCCCCAGGTTGCTCTGTGTGTACACATAGCCACTTCATTTTATGGGTGATCTTGATATCTGGTGCCTGTATATGCATACTCAGTTTTTGAAGCAGTCATTTGACTCCCAGAAGATAAGGTTGCTTTAACTTCAAGGAGTGTTTTGCTTGTGCTAATATGCTTTGCAAAGCAACCTTATTGAATGCTCTATGTAAAAGCCCTGCGTTCATTTTCACTTTATAGCTTACATTTTTAAAAAAATCATTTTTATAGGTTTTATTGAACTAAACTGATTCTTTTTCTTTTCTTATCCCAGTTGAATATATTGTGGAATATAATTATGATGCTGTACATGATGATGAGATAACCATTCGAGTTGGTGAAATCATAAGGAATGTGAAAAAGCTTGAAGAAGAAGGATGGCTAGAAGGAGAACTAAATGGAAAAAGGGGCATGTTCCCTGATAACTTTGTTAAGGTAAGCATTCATTCTTCATTAAAGCTGTTGAATAACTTTATTTTATTATATCTATATTGGTGGGAATTTAGCTTAGAGATCAGAAAGAATCAGAAAAGTGGATTTGAAGAGTGATGTGACATAACATATTTACATAAGATATTTCAGTGTACTTTTTATCCTGCCTTTATTATTTTTATAAATAACTCAAGGCTGAACATACCTAATACTCCTTTCTCCTCCTATTTTTCCTGGAGCAACAACCCTGTCAGGTAGGCTGGACTGAGACTGAGTAACTAACCCAAAGTCACCTAGCCGGCTTTCATGCCTAAGGTGGGACTGGTGGCATTTCCTTTTGTTAATATTTCTGTAGTGAGTAATCACTTCATCCCTTCTATATGTAGATGCTAGTTGTGTGTTGAACTACAAGTAGAATAATAGTTATTCAATTCATGCCAGCTTGGTCATGATAAAAATATGTGCTTGCCTTCAATGGCCTTACACGTCTAGTCATGTCCTTCCTATTGCAAACAATAGAGTATAATAGAGTTAACAGGAAATTGTGACATCAGTATGCCCTGATAGGTATTAAAGAAAATTAATATGTTTTACTAGTAGATATTAGTTCACTGATAGGCAAACATCTTTTTTAAAATTGATTTTCTGGAGTAGTAGTAGTAGTAGTAGTAGTAGTAGTAGTAGTAGTAGTAGTAGTAGTAGTAGTAGTAAAAAAGTTGGAAGGGACCTTGGAGGTCATCTGCTCAGGCAGGAAACTCTATATCAGTGGTGGCGAACCTATGGCACGTGTGCCAGAGGCGGCACTCAGAGCCCTCTCTGTGGGCATTTCTCTGAACTGCTGGTGGCAGGCTGCAGAGCCCCAGAGGGCACCGGTCGAGGGGCCGGCAGGCTGTGGCTGCTGACGGACACTGTCGGCCCCCATGCGCTTACTGGCCTCTGTGTGCGGGGGGCCAATGATGTCAGGCAGCAGCTGCCCCGGCCCCTGCCTTGCCTTGCCCTGAGATAATGGCACCCCCACCCTGTCTTGCCTCACCCCGCAGGATGAGCCTCCTACCCACCACTCCACCTGCCAGAGACCCCCTGGATCTCCCCCAACCCTGCCCGGCCCCTATAGGCGTCCCTCCCCATGAGCAACATCGAGGTGACCACGCTCACCTTGGCCACACCCACCCAGTCTGCCATGACCATCACAGCCACGCCCACCCAGTGGGCCACGCCCACCTGGCACCTGGCAATAAATAAGTGGGTTTTGGGTTGCAGTTTGGGCACTCGGTCTCTAAAAGGTTCGCCATCACTGCCCTATATCATTTCAGAAAATGGCTGTCCAATCTCTTCTTAAAAGCTTCCAGTGTTGGAGCATTCACAGCTTCTGGAGGTTGTTCCACTGATTAATTGTTCTAACTGTCAGGAAATTTCTCCTTAGTTCTAGATTGCTTCTCTCTTTGGTTAGTTTCCATCCATTGCTTCTTGTCCTGCCTTCAGGTGCTTTGGAGAATAGCTTGACTCCGTCTTCTCTGTGGCAGCCCCTGAGATACTGGAATACTGCTATCATGTCACCCCTCATTCTTCTCTTCATTAAACTAGACATATCCAATTCCAGGATATAATCATCTTTCTTGCTCTTCTTTGTACTCTTTCTAAAGTCTCAACATCTTTTTTACATCATGGTGACCAAAACTGGATGCAGGTATTCCAAGTGTGGCCTTATCAAGGCATTGTAAAGTGGTATTAACACTTCACGTGATCTTGATTCTATCCCTCTATTAATGCAGCCTAGCACTGTGTTGGCTTTTTTGGCAGCTGCAGCATATTGCTAGCTCATAGTTAAGTGATTGTCCACTAGGACTCCAAGATCCCTCTCACAGTTGCTACTATTGAGCAAAGTACCATCTATAC